TTTCCTCGCTGGCAGCAAGACAGGGTGAAGCAACAGGATATATGAAAGGCTTTCAGCGAGATGAAGAGTAAAGTTCTGGACTATTTTCCTTTAGTTTAATCTCTGCCACCTGCCATGAGGCTCCAGTATCTTTGAGCCTGAGAAGGCCCCATTTTGTTCAGTTCAGTTTAATCGCTCCATTTAAATGTGTGTGTAAAAAAAGCCAAACCAACAACAACAAAACCCCATCTGCATGAAACCAAATTTGATATTTTCTCCCTCTCTTAATGTGATCCCATGAATTTCTTGCATTGTTGTGTCCCGTGTACTAAGAGTCCCATGCAGAGAGCAAACAATAAAGCAGCGAGAAGACAGATGCTCTGCTAATGGGAAACCAAGGAGAAGAGAGTCTGTGAGGGATTACAGGCAGCCTGGGGTTGGAATACATTATTAGCATAGCACCCAATTCAGAAATTAGTTTTCAGAATTAAATGCCTGAAGCATTTTGGCAAAACCTCCTGATCATCCCTCTCAAAAGCCCTTAAAGCATAAAAGAGTAGGGATCTAAAGTCTAGGCTCAGCAATCACATTCGGTGACTTTGCAGTGCTGTAACAGTGAATTGTAGTTTTTACGGCTTCATACCATTACCGGGGCAGCAACTGCCACACCTACTGAAATGTAACCTACTCAATCTGCTTGCACAAACCTTTAGCAGGTTTTGAACATCCTCATCAAAGAAGAAAATGGGCCTGAATGAGATTCCAGGGTCTGTTTCCAGGAGGAAGGTTTTGTTTTGTTGAGTGCATAACAGCAGGGAAGTGCATCAGCCTCTCCTTGGGCACGGTTAGGCATGAGAAGGAGAAGCGACATGTCTTTTCAAAGATCTGACATTGCCCAAGGTAGGAAACTTTGGGTCCTGAAGCCTTTTTCAGGCATGCTATTTTCTGAATGTTTTTGCTTTTGAAAATCATGATGAGAACATCAAACTTAATTTAAAAGACCCTGGGTAAACAACCAAGATTGGTTACAGGACTGAGGGCAGACAGGAGAAATTGTTTCTCATAGTACTTGGTGGGATTATCCTCCATGCATAATTGTTCATTATATGCTCAAAATTCATTGTTAATTTCTTTTGGACATATTGCACATTAAACAGAAGAGTTATAAACCCCAAGATTATCACAGGAGGACACTAACAGGCCTAAATATTCAGGACAGAAGGGGACTTGTTTTCCTCTTGCATTGAAACAAAGACTCTTGGACAGAATCGTTACAGATTTTTTTGCCTGTTTGATAGTCAAAGTATATTGGACAGCAAACAAAAGAAAAGTTCAGCCAGCCAAGTAGTCTACTTTATTTTTACTCTTCTATTCTAACATAATTAACATATTTCTCAAGGTTTATTTATTTTCAGAGTCTTATTTTATATAAGTATTGTTGGGGAGCTTGATTACAAAGTCTTGATTCATGTACATAAAGTGAGATTTTATTACCCTGGGAGAGAAGTCAAGGACAAGGTAAATATGGGAGAAGAGAGCTGGGACTAAACTAAGAAACCAGGAAAAGTAATATGCCAACTATTCAACATGCACTTGTTTTCTTTGTGTCCTGATAACTAGCATTTTATTTCTAAGTCACAGAAGTGAGAGTAAAGGGTACCGCTTCATTTTCAGCTTTGAACTTCAGAGCTGTTCTTTTTATAACATCTTCTTTCAATGTTTTTATATGTGCTTAATGAGCATCTATAATGAATATTTGGGAAAGTTCAAAATTACACTTGTTATTTGTGCTGGGTACAGACTGTAGACTTCTGAACGTTTCTGTGTAGTTTGAGATTGGTTTGTATTTGCATCATCTTACTGGTTAAAAAAAAATTAAAAAATAATAATAATAATGAAAAAAGAAACAACACAAAAACAAACGAAAAAAAACCCTGGCACATACAAAACCCGTATCGGGTATGGCTGGAATTGAGCCCAGTACTGCTTACAACCTGAATGAAATTGTCGGTTTAAAATGCCGTATGTACGGGAAGCGTGGCTGTGACTGGGCTCCTCCACTGGGTCTTGCCTATCAGCCTGTGTCACTTCACTGTTCACCTCAATCTGTTTTTCACACCTCCAGGTTGTGAGGGAGGGCTGGGGTGCGCAAAGATCTTTTTCCCCCTCCAGCTGTGTCAGTAATAAAAGAGGCTACAAGCCTGTAGAGCACAACCTCCTCTTCTCCTGTGGTTACCTAGTTCACAAGCTCTGCAGGAGCTGGGTGCTTCTTCTGCCCAGTCACACTGGGAACCCCTCATCAGGGAGGCTCTTGGGGGTGCTGAGAGATAATAAAGAGGCCATTCTGCCTTGTCTGCAGTCTGGAGCAAGTCACAACTTCTCTCTTGTTGCACACACAAGATTCATGAAAGTTAATAATAATGAAATGCTTCAAAGACAGAGGTTGCCGATTTTAATTAGTATTTTAAGGCTTTGTTTGTAAGCTCTGCTTCTGAAACTGAAAACTTAGCACAACGGCCTTGTTTGAACTCTCAAGTTCAGAACAAACACTACAAAGCAGAAGTTTACAGGTGAGCTACAGAAATGTAGAGAAAATCATTTATTGTTTACCTTTAAATGGCAGTGTCCACAGTACTTCCATCATGTAGTAAATGGTGCTGCTGGGATCTGAGGCTGTTAGTCCTTTCCAGTCCAAATTGATGTAAAGCATAGGCAGCGCTGAATCCAAAACCCTGATCTCACTGGATCAGGTCTCCAGTTTGTCTGGGATTCTGTGATCAGAAAAGAGTGTAGTGATAAGGGACAGCAACCCAAGCCCATGAAATACTTTATCACTGCTATTAGACTTACTGCCATTTTGCAAAGTCTTCTTAATTGGGTAATCCAGTTCTGGATGTGTTTGACAAATAACAATTCTGTTCTTGTTAAAAATAAATCATGGTTTTAATTTAATAGGGTTAGTCATATAAAGCATGATTTTGTGTCAGCAAAACCTTTCTTTCTGACAAACAGTGTAATTTATGACAATCTAGTTAGCAATAAATGACATTAATCTGGCTACTATGCCATTTCGTTCCTGGGGAACAATGTTCCCTCTTAATCAATAGCTGGGTAAATGCTCCTTTGCATTCCTTATCAAATGACAGCCAGATGGTACTGGTAAATTCATTCCAGCAGGATTTTAGAATTAGCTGGGTTTGTACTATTGTTAATCCTCTGCTGTCTGCGCCGCTAGGACCTACCCACCTGTTTCCAGTAACCCTCGAGTTCGCAACCTTAGGAAATAGTCTAGCCAGATGGTTACTCAGATACAGTGCAGCCAAGAAGCATCCCAAGCAGTGAGGCCTTTTTTCTGCATCAGTAAGAAGAAAATACAGAAAACCCAGTATCTTGCAGAAATAGCCAGCTAGGACTGGCCACCTCTGTATTTGTTCCTCAACACTGTGGTCACTTTTGATGAAGCTTCAAAGTTTCTTAAGATTGCATGAACTGTGTTCCTTGGTGCATGGTAAATTTGGAGCTGTGACAGCTGCTGTACCATCATTTACAGACTTTCTGGGCCTGTCAAGTGCCTGAGAGACCTCTTCCTTCATAATCATTTTGTTGCATAGCAACAATAATTTTGTCTCCAACCTATTGATCTGAACTAACATGTAATCCCCTCACACCAATAAAAAGGAAAACATATGGCAGCTCTAGGCTGGGAACCATTGGCTTTTGAAGTGAGGGGACAGTTAATCCCCAGTAAATCAAGTGGGGAATGGAGCAAGCCTAAGCTCTGTTGGGCTTGGGGGCTGAGGATGCATTAGATGCCTGAGCCAATTAACCTGTGCTCTGGGAGAAGAGTCCAGTTTACACTCATCCTCCCCATTCTCTGTCTTTTATCTTGTGCAACTAAAGTACACTTCAGGTGAGCTTTGCTACAACCTTAATTGCTGAAATAAGCATCACTGTGCAATACCATACAAATAACTGGGCATCCTTCCCTCTGGCAGGAAAGAGTACACACGCAGCACTTGGCTTAAATGGGACTGCAGTGGGTGAGGGTAAAGTTCAGCCACTGCAAATACCAGTTTCAAAATTACGTGGCTGGAGTTCTTCAGGCAAATGCCTCTTGCCTGTAGGGTAGTGTTTGGTAGGTCACTCGTCTGGCCTGATAACCTTGGTATTTTTTGTATACCTCTAAACACAGGGCTAAAGACAGACTTTGGCATCTGAAACAGGATCTGCTTTGGGAACCCAAGTACAAAGTTAAGGTCAAAAACACTCAGGCAGGGAACACAGAGCTTTGGTCCCAAGTGGGCAAAGTATCTCCTCACTGCCGTGCCCCCGGCACCGAAGCAGAGGGCTCTGCTGCCAGGCCTGCCCAGCCTTCCCGTGGCCCACTGCAGGCTGGAGCATGGGCTGGACGTTGGGGTTTGTATCGTCTTTCTGAGGTACCTTACTGTTGCCTGTGTTGTGCAGGGAGCCCAGGCTCCTGTGACTGGACTTCTAGATTCTTCCCTGGATAAAAAGCTTGGTATCCATGAGGCAGCTAAGCCTTCCTTGGGCCTGTCTTCATTTTCTCTAGCCTACATAGAGCAGCAAGTGAAATGTAGGTCCAAAATCTGAGGTTAGTAAGCATCTGGTCACTAATTTAGGCAGGAGTCAGGAGGTAAGTCCTATGTTAAGTTACTTCCCACAACAACAACCACCAAAAGAGTGAATTCAAGCTAATTCCAGCACGCTAAATGCAAACTCGACAAATGGGCTTCAGAAATAAAAATCAAACTTGAAATAATATTGTTACATTGGAAACCTCAATGGAAATCGCGCAGGGGATCAGAAGGTCAAGCTGGTATCTGCGCACTCTGCAAGGGCAGAGCAAAGGCTTCTCAGTCCCTGTCTCCCAGACCTGTTGTATACTTGGCTATCGTGCGCAGCACAGGCTGGAAAACAGCGTAGCGGTCACTTAGGTATTTCTGCAGCTGGAGGAGAGGCTACTAATAATCCTTTCTTTTCTGTCATTTGAACAGTATTCAGGTTTTCAGCAAACGGCGGACAAGTGCTTTGTTTGTGGACACCTCATAATGGAAATGGTGAGAAACCTAAATTCCTAACCACGGGGTAGCTTGCTTTTCACATACTGTGGGTAGTGCGGTGTGAGATACCGTGCTTTTTCTCCAGTCAGATTATCATTATGTCTTCATTGCTGTCAACATAACTTTTGAAACTGAGGCAGTAAATAAACAGAAATACTTCCATGCTCTATTACTATTAAGTACAGAAAGTTGGGCTGGTTTTCTTCTTCTGGAGGCTATTGTTCTGCTATATGCCATATGCAAAAAAAACCAGACAACCCCTAACCAAGAGATAAACAGAATTTTAATACTGAAAATACATCACACCTTTATATGAGAATATGGTAAAGGAAAACAGAGGGTGTGCTTTCTAAGACAGAATAGCAAGATCGCTGTCAAGTGGATGGGATCTGGGCTAGAGAGGGACATTATCAGCAGTCCCAAGGATTGCTGCCTGTGCTGTGACTTGCTTTATTTACCTTCTGCCACTTGCTTCACGTCAGTTAAAATGTGTTATTGCCACTGAGATTTGTAGGGAGCCAATAGTCAGAGTTACTTCAAAAAAAAAAAAATCAAAGGTCTACGGGTTGGGCCAGATACTGCTGGCATCATTTCAGCGGGTGAAAGCAGGAAGAATTTAATCTGTTCTTCCTAAGCAGAAATTCCCAAACAAAATGAAGTGGCTTGCACGTTGAGTAAGTGCAGACCATGTAGCATATCTATTTTTCTCTTGCTTTAAAATTTATATGAACCTCAGTATGCCTGATAAAACTAACTATTGCGTTGCAAGCACGGAGATTCAGTAGGAGCTGGAACGGAGGCTTCACTAATGAGGATTCTGGCTCATATCCTGGCACCACTGGTTGGACAAGGATATTGTTCGTTTTAGCCCAAGAGCAAATTTCTAGAGTTGTGTCATGCTGGGAGGGGGAGGGGTATCCTGACTTGCATGCCTTGAGCTGGCCCTTAATTGCAGAATCCCAGGCAAGAGTCCATACTATCTTGTTGGTGGAGCTCAGTAGCTGGAAGCTTGGCAGGTGCTCGTCTGCCTTTCTCCCATCAGCAAGTGTGCTCTGACAAAAGGAAACAGCTCTGGGAGCTCCAGGAATTAAGCAGTCTTATTTGGCTAATTCCTTCGTGTTCCTCCCTGGGAGCACGTGTACGACCAGCGCGCCGGCGCACCAGAACTGCCGTGCCCAGCTGGGGAGCATGGAGCTGCAGCCCCACGGGCCTGGGTGCAGCTGAAGCTGTCCAGGGCTGAAAGTGCAGCCGAACGAGGAGCTGCTCCGTGCAAAGGGGGGCGGCAGCAGCACGCCAGGCTAATGGCGCGGGTGAGGTGGCTGCCCAGGTGGCAACGCACGCACAGAGCCAAGTTGTTTCTGGCTAGGAACAGCCTTGCAAACCAAATGGAATCTAATGGTGCTCACTGAACTGAGAGCTATAGGGCTTCATTACAGGGAGGGAAAAAAGGTTAAATTAAATTGACTTTGTGCACTTTTCCTATGTGCCACTTCTTATTTCGTGTTGATTTGATCTTTATTCTTAGCATCATCTGCCAGGCCATGAGAGCTTGGCCTGTGAAGACTTATCATCTCCAGCTTATTAGCAGCTCCAAGCTGAGCACTGCTGCTAGCAGATACTTTTTGAAATTATTTTCCTAAGGTTTTTCTCATAGCTGAAATGTACACAATTGGTGCTGTAACCTGTTGAGAGCTGCCTGAAGATGATACCCTGTCTCAGTCTTCCGAGAGGCTAGTTCATGGGCTTGGTGCATCCTCCTTGATGTCCCAGTGCCATGCTGAGTGTTGCATACAAGGACACCAGGAGGAAGGGGATCTGCTCTGTAGTAGTGTAGCTGAGACTGCATCACACCTTTCCTTGAAACCTTTGACCTGCGGTAGGGAAGGTCAGCATGGGAAAAGCCTGGGCAGATGGATAGATCTGTATCCAAACACGTGGATACCGATGGAATTTTAGCAGAAACCAGTGGGCCCCTGTGACTGAGTGATAACCAGTCAGTAACTGTGGTGTATTAGGATCCATAATTAGTAAAGGGACACCTATTTATTTGCTTGCTTTGTTAATTTACTTTTTAAAGTTTGAATAACGACTGGTTTGGATCCTGTCTGTCACAGCCTGTTAAGTTTTGTGAATTAACTCTGTATCCCAGTAACTTGTATTTGGCTGCAACAAATTTTCCAAGAAGTGGTCTCTGAAGCCATTTTTAATTTCTGTTGGCAGTATCGGCACTGCAGAGCTAAGACTGATGTGCATTAGCTTGATTTTCACAGTTCTCTTTACTGGGAGCCTACTGAAACCCACTGAAATAAGCAAGCTGATTGTTTTACAATGTCCCTTGCTGACAGATCTGCAGAGTGGTAATTTCATCCTCAAGTGCTTCTCTCATGGTCCTCGTTAAGAATCAGACACAGCAGTATATGGGGACAATCTCATGTAATCATGCATCCACTTATTTTGCTGTCTGCCTTTTAAGATCTTACAGGCCCTTGGAAAGTCATACCATCCTGGCTGCTTCCGCTGCGTGGTGTGTAACGAGTGTTTGGATGGAGTCCCCTTCACTGTAGACGTGGAGAACAACATTTACTGTGTCAAAGACTACCATACGTAAGTATGCAAATGCATTGCATGCTTGAAAAAATTACAGTGGTTAGATTACTGGTATAGTTGTAAGTCTTGTAGTAGAGGAAAAGGGTCATTCCTGTTTGTTCAGATGTCCCTCAGGTGCTGCTCTCATCTGTTGCATTTGTGAAGCGTTTTAAAGTTTTATTAAAGGTCGCTTCATGGGCCCAGTGTAGCACGGAGTGGCCAGGTGAGGTTGAAAATCAACTTGTGTCAGAGGATGTACTTCTCTGGTGACTTCTTTCAAGACTTTCAAATACTAATTAGATCAGGCTAATTCTGCAAGTAATGGTCAGTTCTGCTGTCTGTGTCTAAGAGTCAAGGTTCTGGCAGTGCATGGTACTGGCCAGTGTAAGTGAGGTTGACCTAGACTGCACAGACATGATTAGCACCTACTGTTAAAATGATTTTAGCCTCACCTGACAAAAAGTTTTATGGTTTAAGTGATTGCTTTTGGACTCCTTTCTGCTCCTGCTCAAAAGGCAACATGAATGCTCTTCCCTCCAGTCAACCAATAATACAGCTTATGCAGCAAGAGCAAATCACTCTGAACTCAACCCTATTGGTACCAAGTTGACCATGTGACAAGGATAGAGTGAATGTTGGCCCAGTGACTGTTGTAAAATGCAGCTGGATAATGGATAATAAGACCACTTGATGGATTTGGTTTAAGTAGAACTACCCATGATCAGTCCTTCTCCTATTTAGCATACTTATGTCTTCCTGACATCAGATGGTGACAGGCCACAAGTCAGGAGCTGCTTTGCAGTCAAAGCAGCGAGTCTCTGGAAGAATTTGAATGGCTTTATGAGTAAAGGAAGGTTACAGAAGGGGCATACGTGGGAAGAGGGCTGGATTCACTGTGCCCAGAGGTCAGGAAGACCTAAGTAATAAAGCTGGGGTAGATCAGCCTCTTCCAAATCTCCTTTTACTGAGTATCATCAAACCTTTAAAGGTGTTTCAAATCCTGTGGACCTACGTTTTGCTAAAAACAAGCATGGTTAGAATAGCTCTCTTGGTTCTATTTTTTGAAGAAGCTTTAAATGTTATTTGAACACTTTCTTCTTGCACCCTAGGGTTTTTGCACCAAAATGCGCTTCCTGTAACCAGCCGATCCTGCCAGCACAGGTACATGTTAACATGCATTGACTCTTTAGAGAAAACAGCTATTGGCATATGAACACTTTCTAAAAAACACATTAGATGCTTTTTTTTTCCCTCTTCCAGAATCTATATTATGTCAGCTACTAAATTAAGTACAGTTCAGCAATAATGTCACTCCCAAACATTCCCAGAGGTTGTAATAGTCGTACTACTTATGCAGCGTAGTACTTTGTATCTTTAGGGTGCTTTCCAGGTTGTAATTATGCTGTTATAAATCTCATTTAATTGAAAGCCCTGACTGGGCCTCCAAGAACAACTCAAGAAGTAAAGCCCTGTTTATTTTTGGAATCTCCCATTAGTTCAAGTAGCAATTTTCCTTGTCTGCTATGTTTGCATTTCTGATGTGGACCTGTTACGATGTCCAAACTTGGAAAGACATCTGAGGGTTACCCTGACCCTGTGAAAAGGCCACACAATCTGTTGTCCTGGGGTGGCAATGTAGCGAAAATGCTTAAGGGATGGAAAAGGCAACAGAAAAGTTGGCTGAAAGGCAAGCAGGTGGATGACCTGCTTGCAACCTCAGCCTATCCTGACAGTATAGTTAGCACAATAAGACTTCTGTATTAAGACATCCCTTTTCTGCCTGCCTGCAGCAGTGCTCCCTCATGCTCTGGTGGATACAGGACCCTCTGAGTTCTCACTGTTGAGGTCACAGACCAGCTCATTTGTAACATTTGTAAGCAAGGGCCTCAATGCCTCCCTCCTCTTCCTCTTGTCGTGGTTACAGAGCTGGAGGTTGCATCCTGTAAGCTGCTGCGCCCTGGTAAAGCCTGTGGCTAGAGCCTCCCAGCATGCCCAGCTCCATCACCCTGCACATTAACAGAAATAATAATGACAAATGGGGAGTAAACAGCCAGATCTGACATTATAAAGCTGAGCCGGAACTGCTTGTCCTGGTAATGAGATGTAAGGAGAAAACCCCAATGTAGATTTCACTGGATTTGTGTCTTAAAAAATGACTTAAAAAGAAAAAAAAAAAAAGCAGTCTCACTGCTGACTCATCTGGTGGCTAGGGGGATAGACTCCACGTTCTTTCCCATGGAGGTTTCTTAGGTTAGTTCAAGTCTAGCAGTGCAGGTGCTAACTTGCCCACAGCTTCTCTCAGACCTAGGCTACGTCATATCTGATGCTCTAACCACACCTGGAACTAGAAACAATGCAAGGTAGAAAAGTTAATGAGCTCTGTCTTCAGAGGCTTCAGAGTGGATCAGGGA